TTAGTAGTTGAATTTAACTACGTTTTTCAGGTAACTTCTACTCAAATTACTAACTACTTTCGAAATTTAATCCTATTTTTTTTTTTTTCATCACAAAAGTTTGAGTGCAGAAATAAATAAGACGCTGGCAGATTAAGTGGTATTCCCGAATAGGGGCCCCCTCACATTCCGTTCCACGCACTTATAGTTGGTAGCCGTAGAAACTGCATCACAGGCGTCATTGGGCCAAGGTGGCGACGAGCAGCCAAAACATGGCACCGGCGCGCACAAACGTAGACAGAGATGCTTAACAAGCCTAATCCGGTAATGCACGCAAGCGCCGCGCCTCCAGCTGCAACCGTGAAAGGCGGGGACACTCCGAAGGGGGTTGTTGTTTTCATGTTGTGTGCCTTTAGTGAGTTCTGACTCAAGTGGTAGGATCCATGCTAGGCGCCACTGGAATGACCTCGCAGCTGGGCACCTGTTCCCATGGTCGCCTCGTCGTCAGCGCATACTCCCTTGCAAAGCCGGACTCCCCCCCGCACAAACGCAGACACGGGTAATCCGTTCATGACAGCACTTTCCCGCTTCCAACTGCAACTGTACGAGCGCCGATGCTTGTTCACGTAATCCTTCTCGTCCTTCTGACCTTCCACGCCAGGGAGACCTCCTCTTTGTTGAAAACGTTTTATGGTGAATTCCACTCGCAGATCTGGAACGCTTTCCAAAATCCGCGAGGGAGGCAAAATTCCGCTCCGTGGAACCCGCTCCGAATCGACGAGGGGAAGATAAACTTGCATTTTTGGAGCGACCTTCCCCACACGCCTTCTCCCTCCGCCGTACAAAATGGCCGCCTGCTCGAACTCGACCAGTCCCACCAACGCCTCAGCCGGCTGATCTTTCCGACGACCAGTGACGACTGTCACTGCTTAGCTGCAGAAGTAACACGCGACACAGTCCGGGCGAAATTATACGTACCACGGCGCCCATGTCACAAATAACGAAGAGGTCCGCGCTCGGCACCGTCACATACCTTCCGGCCGCCTCGAAGCGGCGGGGCACGGACAGCAATTGCCAGCGGTGGAGTTCAGGTTTGTAGTATGACTTTAATAAACCCAGAGGTAACAAAACATCGCTTGCGCGGTCGTTGCCTAACCACTTCTTGCTTTATTTTACGGGAAAACGCCGACGGAATGCAGTGTAAAAAGGTAAACAATCACTGGCTGCAGAATGAATAGGCCTAATCTTGCGTCTGCCTCCGGCTTTTCTGGCGTTCTTTTTCTCGTTCTTCCTCTCGCGATCACAGACGTCAGCGCTTGCGGTTTGCCACGCTCCACATTCCCGGCTTTTTATCCGTGATCTACGCTAAGTAGGAGCGTTCGAGCCGTCACAATCCAGAGTAAACAACCGACGCACCCGAACAGATCCAACTCCACGACCCGACCGGCCCGCCGATCTCTCCAACCTCACCGCGCATGCGCACCGCCGATTTAGACGGAAATCACGTGGGCCGCTCTGCCAACTTCCGGAGAGATCTGTGAAATCCCGCAGAGCAAGTTCGGCGGAGTCTGGGGCGCTCCGTGGAGCGGGCACTGCCAGAGATCTACGAGCGGAACATGACCAACTTGAGCCAGATCCGCGAGCGGAATATGCGCGCTCCAAATGGAGCGCTTTTCGAGCGCTCGAGATCTGCGAGCGGAATTCACCATTACTTGTCAGGCGATTTCGGGGATTTCGAGTCACCCTTGGGAGATCCTTTTGTTGGACCCAACGTCAACGGCAAAAAGCAAGTTTTTTTTTTTTTTTTTTTTTTTAGTGGCGTAGTGGCGTGCAAAAACACTGCAACGAGACGCGCAGTCGTCCGTATGATCTCATCGTCGTGGCGCGAGACTTGATCCTTTGACGGTCAGGTGCACTCGCTCGGCGAAATCTCCGAACGTCGTGAGTATAAAGAGGGGCCAATCATAACAATCTCAACTTGCCGAAGAAAAAAGACAAAAAGAGGAGAGTTTGTTATAAAAGACCCTCTTGCCGAGACAAGCCTCACATGTTTCGTCATGGACACCAAAGATGCCGACACTCGCTTACCCGACCCTGTGCAGCCTGCTTCTGAAATTGGACGCTGTCTTTGCATCCAGCGCCACGGTGGAACATCTTTTTAGCTTGACCGAGGACGTCATTAGAAGGAAAAGAGGAAAACTCTCCGATAACAACTTTGAAAGACAATTGCTTCGGCGAGCGAATAAACTATTTTGGAAGTCATAAAATGACTGCATTTATTTCCGGCTCGCAGGGTTTTTCACTGATCCAAACTTCTGTTCATTTTGCTGGCACAAAAACATAAAAAAGTAACTTCGAAAGTAACTTCAAAGTAATTCGCTACTTTTTTACAGTAGTTAGTAGTTTACTCAATTACTATTCCAAATGCGTAATTTCTACTCTACTCCAACTACTTTTGGCGTCGATACTCAGTAACTTAACTTAACTACCTTTTTTGAGTAATTTGTACATGTCTGGCGTTACCCGATGTTTTCAACTCTCCCGATGGACTGTTTTCAGTGTTGCTGAATGTTTTGATAAAAAAAAGCTGTTGGTCATGACGGCGTTCCAAATATGTTCCTCGTTCACCACACAGAATGGTGCTCAAAATAACTTCATCTAATATTTAAGAAATCATTGTCGGAGTCCGTTATTCCAGTAGAATGAAAAATTGCCAATATATGTTCCCGTTCCCGAATCTGGATCTCATCTCTTGCCTGGGAGTTTCCGGCCGATTTCTTTGGTTCCTTACTGCTGGAAACGCATGGAGCCCGTTGTTTTTTAAACAATTGGCGGAATATTCAGAGAATCACAACTTTCTTAACGTGAATCAACATGGTTTTCTTAATGGACTTTCAACCACCACGCAATTACTTAAACCGTCCATGATTCTGCTGAAATATGAAATCGTTCTAAACAGGTTGTTGTAATTTTCCTTGACCTCGCTAAAGCGTTTGACAGAGTGCCACACTGTAAACTGCTTCTAAAACTTAAATCAATCGTGCAAAATTATATCATTTACTTCTGGCTTTAAAATTACTTGCTAGAAAGAAAGCAGTACGTTCATATAAACTCTAGTGCATCCTCGCTAGTTCCTCTGCTATCGGGCGTCCCGAAAGGGACAGTCCTTGGACCTTCACTTTTTTTCAGTTTTTATAAAAGAAATCACTGCCAACATTCCTGTGCAAGCATGTTTATTTGCGGACGATGTTATCTTTACTGAGGTAAACTATGTTAGGAACCAGACTTTACTTAACAGCTGCTTATCCAAGATACACGATTGGTGTGACTCATGGGAGATGTCACTAAATGTTACCGAATGTGTTCCAATGCATATAACCCACAAAACTAGTTTTCTTTCCTCTAATTATTCGATCAATTGTCCTAGCCGAAGTGACTTCCTATAAATACCTCCGTGTAATCATTTCAAATGACCTGCGTTGGAACACCCATATTAGGTACACTGTGCTCAAGGCATTAACTAAGCTCGGGTTTCTCCGGCGAAATTTAAAGCGAACCTCATCCAACGTAAAATTAACAGCCTACAAAACGTTTATTCTGCCTATATTAGAGTATGCATCTGTTGTCTGGGACCCGTTTACTAAAGCCAAAATAAATTTACTTGAATCCATTCAGAGCAAAGCATTGCGTTTCATATAGAGCAACTTTCAGAGACAATAACCGTTTCAGAACCATATGCTGTCTGTTCCAGCATGAGAGGCAATACTATATGTGTGTTCCAGCATTAGCCCATTAACCCATAGACGCATGCTTGAAAGATTAAAATTTTTACTCGACCTACTTATCAACCGATTTAACATTGACACCTCTACACATATTTTACCTGCTCCTCATAATTACCCCACGCGAAATTTTCGTTGTAGATCTTTACAAGAATGGAGCTCTAGGATCGATGTAGTTAAGTTCTCATTTTTCCAAAGGACAATTCATGACTAGAATGCCCTAACCACTCATATAATAAATGGTTTATCAAAGTCATCGCACATTGCTAACCTCCAAAGTTTGTTAAGTCCCGTGATTAACGGTATTTCTTGTTGTTTTCATTTTTGTGTTTTGTTTTATATTTTTATTCAGTACTGTATAATAATGACGTTGATTGCTTTGTTCCCCTGTGCACAAAATGACTAGAAATGTATACCCTTATAAAAACATTATGCACCCCCTCCTACCACACTCCCGAAGGAGATAATAGTGGCAATAAAAATAAAATAAAAAATAAAAATAAAAGTTAGAAAATTGAGGAGGAAGCACAAGCTAGTCGAAGAAGATTCCCATGAAATGCAGAATGCAGAGACAAATGAAGAAGAAAAAGAGGACAACCAAAGCTAGTCGAAGAGGAAAGAGACTCTTATTAAACAGTTGGTAGTTCAGCGGTTGAATGCACATTTAATTTCTCCTTTCATTTCTATGGACGGTTGGTATTTGTATGTTTAGCTGGTTCCGCCAAAACATGTATCACCACTAGCTAAACGTTTCCCCGCCGGACGAGCCAAAAAGGGCAAAATTATTAAGAAAATTAAAAAACACACTGCGACCAGAACAATAGTTGCTTCAAAAACAAATGGAGCTACAGCTACTAATTATGTAACTATGTAACTAATAACTGATAACCGGTAACTGTGTAACCGTAGTTAAGGCTCCTACATAGCACGCGCAATCGGTACGTGACGGAGCAGGTTTCAGGAAGCGAGTAGTGTCAGACAGCAGCAGAAGAATGAACTGAAAAGTACCAATTCATACCTGAGGAAAGCGCTTCGCCGTTCACGTTGCTTATCGTTACTTGTATAAGGAATCATTGATGGAATTTAGCCAACACTGGTCGCCACGAACTTCGCCACTAAATTAAAAAGCATTCGATTAAGCAAATCCGCCTCCGTTTAAATAACAAATCGGTCTACGCGAGCAATCCGCTCGTTGAGGAATGTACCGGGAGTTCTTCCACACACTGTATTCTCCCGCAGGGTTCCTGCAAATATTGCCCGCGGCGGCCGTGGTTCGCCACCTTGCCTACATGCTCGAGAGCGGAGAGAGCTTGAAAGAACGCGTCTCGCTCAAGGTAAGCAGGCGACGACTTAAGCGTTTCCGTGGACGCGACAGTAGCGCATCGAACTGGGAGCCAATCACTCGCCTCCAGTCTCTCTGGTTCTTGATCTCCTCCCAATCACAGTTGTCTTATCTCGATTAAATGTGCTACGACGGCATCCGTGTATTCGCGGCTACTGATAAATTAAAGGGGCCCTGCAAGGACGTTTTTACTGGTTTTTAATTTGCACCGAACCTGAGCGCACAGAACGTAGTAACTTAGTGAAACTTTTCTTTTCTCGAAATTTACTTTATATTAAAAGTTATAGGCAAATTAAAATTACAAAAACAAGCAAAAATAACCTCCCTCATGACGTCCTTGGTTGCTTGAGTGGTCGTGCACTAGAGGAGGGGTAGTGAGCTAATCAAGGTGCTCATGCCTGCCGCACTCCGTGTCGACGGCGCGAGAGGGCGCCACTAAAGCATGTTCTGGATAGGCTGTATGCAGCGGACAGCCACAGCGGCTCTCATTGCATTCGCCGCGCGATTAAACACTAATTCGGCATGACATCTCATCGGCCACAAACGACAGCGAACACGGGGTCAAGATCAGTTCAGAATGGGAGCCACTTCGCCCTGCAATACCGCGAAACGGCCAAACCGCAAGACAAAGCTTTAGGGTTGTGCGAATATTCGAAATTTCTGAGAGTAGTTTCGAATAATACACTATTCGATATTCGCTTCGAGAAGAACTTCTCTATTCGCGTTTTTCGAAGTGTTTTAATTGCGGTGGTTTAGCCCCGTTGAGTGCGCTTCTTACCGAGCACCGGTGCACTGCGGAGAAGCAATACCCGCGGAAGCAAGCTTCGCGGGTGTTGCTCCTCCGCATTACATGGGTGCTTCGTAAGAAGCGAACTCAACGGAGTAACCCGCCGCGATAAACATTTGGAAAAGTACTAATATCGCAGTTGCGTGCTTGGACGAAAACCATACATTCAAAGCGGGATGGTGCACGTGTGCCGGCTGTATATGAAAATAAATGGAAACTTTGTGAATGTGAATACTGTAAAATCCTTTATTTTCGGGGCCCCTATTTTTCGCGAATCGGTCACAGAGGGCATATCGCGGCCCACTAAAGGTTGCGAATTCCAGATACCTGCATTGAAATTCTTGCAGACCGAAATTTGCGCGTGCCTTTAGGGTTCGCGAATTTTTCAATTCGCGAAAATTAAGGGCTCGTGAGCATTAAGGGTTTTACAGTATCTACATTGTAGTAAACGTTTTAAAATGAAACTGACTGTTTTGCAAGAGTATATGTTGGGCAGAGATGCCCTTACAACCTGCGTTCATCATGCGCGAGTCATTCTTTTTTAACTCCAAATTAAAGAAAGAATATTTAAGATTTGTAAATTCCCTCAATTCGGTATAGTTTTTCCATTTCCATTGGATTCATTTTATGTCAAACTTGTTGTTTACTTGCCATCCCAAAACATCATACCTTCTGAGGTCACAGTTCATAAATATAGATAGATTAAGCTAGGCTTATAAATGAATAGGTGGAACAACCTTCACAAGTTTTGCTGGGGTTTTGTCCAAACATTATGTTACGGTAGAAAAGGCTTGAAAAAGCTATTCGATTGTACCTGTGGAGGGGCCTGGAGACCCGTCAAGCAGCTTTGTCAGCTTTTTTCTCCAGCTCCCACCATACGTGATATGGTGAATAAAGTTATTATTATTATTATATTCGATTCGAAAATATTCGGCCAAAACCACTATTTGCTTCGAATTCGCTTTGAACTCAAAATCCACTATTTGCACAAGACTACAAAGCTTCTCGCCGAAGGCCTTCGAAAAGCTCGGAGCCGGTCGGATCCTCCAGTCCATACGACCGCAGCGCCGCCGCGTACATCCGGGACCTTTCCTTGTCGGCGGCTGATCCCACTACTCGTTTCTAGTATGCGCCGCCTTTTCCACCGCTTGGTGCGGGTATGTCGACGGGTCATTTCTTGTTTCCCTACATTATAAACTGCATTCGTTTCTTTTCTGATCTATAATACTGAAAAAAAACTACTTTAATAAATAACTGAAGCTTTTCGCGCCACTTATATTTTGTATTTCGACTAAAAAGAGGCTTTTAGCAGCTCTGACCAGTAAAAAGCTTAGGACCAAAGACGTCAGATTTTGCTTGCTTTCGGTACCGCGGGTCGCCCTCGTCAGTGGCGGTTTCCGCGTCGTTCGGTTAAAATATGACGCGCTGATATTCAGTTACTCTCTCTGTGCCCGCTGGCTTGCCCGAACCCCAAGAGACGTGTAACCGCAAAAAAGATAGACGCTTAAATATGATTGCAGGGCCCCTCTAAGGAACGCGGGGCGAGAGGAGTCCGCATTTTCTCTTCAACGAATCAGATTGCGGAGTTGCGCGATAAGGACGCCGAATAACGAATGCCAATGCAAGAATTGGGAAGATCGTTTATGCATTGATAAGCCACGATGTGCGTTTCCTAAGGCCCGTTCACACAGTCGCGTCTCACTGCATTTGACTGCGTTAAGACTGCTTGCGTCGAGCTATTGGTATGGCGTCCCTTGTGCCATATAATAAGCTACTCTTCAGAGTAACGACACTTGACCATATTGTGTCTTAAAATCATTATTGCCAGTTATCTGAAGCTTTATCTGAAATCAAAGGAAACGCTTTTCCGCCCTCCACAAATGTTTCGATAGTTCGCAACAAAGCAGAGCAATAAAACGTGACCTTCCTAACACCGAATTTAATGCCGAGGATGTCACACATTCGACTCATGACGATCGGCAGCTGCGTCTGCTCTGCATAAGAACCAACTAATGTCGGGGAACGGAGTACCGATACTCTGAGCGCATCTCATTTAGTGGCTCTAAGCGACCATTACGATGAGCCAATGGGGAGGCGAGGTGCTGCTGCAGGACGCAGGCGACGCAACTGCGTGAACGAGCCTTTCAGCTGTCGTCGGAACTAGCATGTTCTACGGCACGACTCGATCATTCACTACCCACTTTTAGGGAATAGAGGAACTCCAACCAATCACTACAAAACTGGGGGTACAACGTTTCGAAACCGACTTGATATTAAATTGATAGCTTTATTGGCGACACTTCGCAGAGGTTTTGTCTTTTGTCACTTGTAGTCGCAGCGCGCGCAGGAAAAGTTGAAAGAAACCCTTCTCTTCCCTCTTGCCTCAAGGAGATAGAACTCGGGACTTCCCGTACGACGTGCCGCGCGCAGAGGGCGAAGAGGGCAGCCCTGGCGTCCGGCAAGAATTGTGCATTGAAGAAAGGTTCCTCGTTTCGTCTGCTTGAAGGACTTGTTTTCCAACATACTCGCTTTATGCGAAATCTCACTTTGGCAGTATCCAGTTGCTACGCGTAATGCTGGATGCTTTTAGAAGCTTGCACCGCGCTTAACCACTTCAGTAATCTTATGTGGCAGTCGTCAGCGGCATCTACGACGTTAACCACGACGGCTATGAGAATTCCCCCCGTTGCATCTCCTTCCTCACGTATGTGGCGGCACCATTCCAACGGCATCTCGCAACAGTGCTACGGCTGTGGCTTTTGTTTCTTCGCACATTGTGGGCGAAAAATACGGGATCTTTTTTTCAGAGCCGGTTATAATTGTTTCACGAGAAGCAACTTTTTTTTTTATAGTTGCGGAGATGTCTTATTTTTCTTCGTCACGCGGCGTAGGATGGTAAAGCGCCCAGGGATGTATTGACGTTGCTTGGTGTATCCTGGATGTAACACGATTCAATAAAATGTCTCTGCCGGGAAATACCTTCGACGTCGAGGATGCACGTGTTCTGAAGTCGATGCGATGATCTTTGAGAAATTGTTCCTCAATAGCGCTGCGCTAGAGGTCAAATTTGCGTACGTCGTTATTGTGTTGGAGAAGCTTCCTGTGGACATGGGCTGGGGGGGGGGGGGGGGGGGGGCGGGGGGGGGAAGGGCCAAGGGGAGCGCTTGACCCCCCCCCCCTTAAGTTCTCAAAGTGGGGGTCAAGGCATGTGTTTTGTCCCCCCCCCCCCCCCCCCCCCCCCCCCGAAGCAGCCGCCACTGGGCAGGGCAAACTCTGGCCGGCAGCGCCCAAGGGATACCAAAGGCACCGCCCACGCGGCCGTGGAGAGGGGTCTGGTTTACCCCCCACTCAAGAACACGTTGGTACGCCACTGCTTGTGGGAGCTTTTTGGTTTCACCGATTATTTGACGGGGCGGGGCAATCAGAGCATCCAATTCTGTACGTACTCTTTGTTTGTTTTTTTCTTTGTTCTTTTTTTTTATTAAAGGACCGATTTTTCGGCCGTGGCGTAAGTCGTCCCAGTGTTGGAATGGGCTTAATTGTGGGCTACCTGAATTCCAATTTTTGCCAGCACGCGTGCTAGTCCCTCACTTGTACCCTTTATATATGGCACGCTGATGCGTGTCGTTCTCTGTTCTTGCTGTTGTGCACGCCGGTGAGTGCGACGTTGACTGCGGGCAACTCGATGAATAAAGCTGCTGGTGTAGCCGTTGTTCTACAGATCGTCGATGACAGGTTTTAACACAATACGTTCGCGTTTAGAAGCTTGTGTCGCAGAAACTCGATTTCGGCGTCGGTGGGGAGGGAAACTCCTCATTGGTCGATGGGTCATGACGTCACAGCCATATCACCTCGCGTGGAAATTTCAAACACTCACAAGGCCCACGTGAAACGTGACGTCAGGCGGGGAATTAATGTGATTAAAACATGCCATGTAGTGCTAATTAAAGGTCGCCGCATGTCTCAAATGATTTCGCTTTTATAAAGTAATTATTTGCCTTAAAGAAAAAAATTTAAAAAAATTATTGGCAGAGGGCGCATTTGGACCCATGACTGTTCTGTTACGAGGCAGACAGGCTACCGACTAGGCCACGCAAGCACTCTTTTTGTTCCATTTTTTTCTGTTTTTACAGGTTCACTTCTTTAATACAAGGTAAGAACATAAGCCTAATTGGCTCATGAAGAGAGTGACAAAAAATTCAAATTATAAGAAACTATTGAAGGTCTCAAGCTCTTCAACCAGTGGAAACCAGTCAGTCAGCCGCTGCTGCACCATATAAATTTCTTTCAGGTAGCACATGCTTTCAACACAATACTTATGAACAGGACGCACATTAATCTACGTGCCGTACCACCACGCGACTCTGCCACAGACTATGCAGAACAACGAGCATAAATATGTCGTAGGGAACTGTGTCCCCATTTTTCACAAACAAGTACCGTATGCCATAGGGCGTTAACGGGACTTCTTTTTTTTTTTAAAGTTGTTCGGAGGATATTTACCAAAAATACCACGTCCCAGCAACGTAGGAATGTATGTTTAATGGGATCGGGTTTTTTTACACAGAAAACAGTTTTCAGACTATGGTACTTGTATGCCCTTGGACACTAACCAGGCTTTGACAAAGAGTGTTTCGCTCTGCGGTTTAGAGAAAACGTTTTTGCCCATGCGAGGTCTATTACTTTTTTTGCTCGTTTAACACATCTTGTCCTGGTGCGCCACTGTACAAAGTTCGGTACAAAGGAGCGGGAAATAACGGTTCGGTCAGATCTCTCGAGAGCCATTTACGCCGCTGACAAATATTCGAGCGATACCCGCGATCTTAAAAAGTCATATGCGTCATTAACTCCCTTTAAATACTCCCGAATCCAGCGGCTACAGCCACTTGACGCCACAATAATCTCGGGCAGCGCGTCACGTAACCTCACTGGAATCACGATAGAGAAGAATGTGTCCCTTTGGTCTCAAAGAAAATAAACCTGTTCACGAACTGCCTGATGAAGAAATGAGAAAAGCCAAGATCCCCCGTTTTGACTCGGCGGAAAAAGATTGTTTGACTGCTGTTAGTGACAGATCAAGAACGAAGCGGAAGCTCATCCTACCTTTTTCCGCTTTAGTAGAGCGAACACAGGAAAGGACGCTCCTCCCACCCCTTTCCACTTCGGCGTTCCGCTAAAGTGGAAAAGGGTGGGAGGAGCTTCCACTTCGTTCTTGACCTGTCACCGGGTATAGCTAGCTCTCAAACCGAATTTGGAATAAAAACGTAAACACTCGGTGCGTACGTTGAATTTTACTCCGCGAACAATGCAGGCCCGGTTGCACGTACCCCAACTTCGCCATGAGAAAAACATCTAAAAAATGTGGCCCGAGTAAACATAAATCTCTGCTCCGATTGCCCCGCCACATACATCCGTGAAACGAAAGAGCGTCCACGCGATACTTCTCCAACACAAATCCGACGTACGCAATAATTGACCGCGAGCACAGCACTGTTGAGGAACATTACCTCAAAAACCATCGCATTTACTCAAGAACACGTGCATCTTCGATGCCGAAGGTAACCCCCGGCAGAGATGCTTTATTGAATAATGATACATCCAGAATACACCAGGCAACATGAATAGATTCATGAACGCTTTACCATCTGTATACTTAAACGCGCTACGTCACGGAACGAAGAAAAGAAAAAAGACGTATTTTTGGCCCACAATGTGCGAAGAAATCAAATCGATAGCTTTTGCACGGTCGCACAATGCGGGTGGTATGGTACGGTCACGTACCCGAAGACGGAGGTGCGACGGGGTTAATTCTCCGTCGTGGTTGACGTCGTAGATGCCACTGACGACTGCCACAAGTAATCCTTGGAGTAAATGGGTAAGCGCGGTGGAAGTTTCTAAAACCATCTAATATTACGCGTACCAGCTGGATACTACCAAAGTGGGATTTCGCATAACGCGAGTAATGTTAGAAAAAGAGTCTTTCAAAAGGAAAACACGGAATACACTCCTTTGGTCGCGTGGTTAATGGCGGGATGCCGGGGTGGTCAACGGGAAATTCCGACTTCTCTGGCCTCGCGCCAAGAGTGGAGGTAAGGGTTTTACCGTAGCGGCGAGGACAGGAGGCGAGGTCGAAATCCCTGCAAAGTATCGCCCGGATAGCTGTCGCTCACCGCAACCTTAGAAGTTGCTGCTTTTCAACGAATTATAGCCTCGCCCGAAGAAGAACCAGGACGGTTTTGAAACGTTGGGCCATTAGTCTTGCAGGGATTGATTGGTTGGAGTCCATTTATTTCCTAAGTTTAACTAGAGAAGTAGTTGACAAATGTTCAGCTTTAAGTGTTCACTATCAACTCTGCATTGGCTGTCCCGAACTGCAGGTACGTGGGTCATGGTCAACAGTCGATAGCTTCATGTCCTGCCGACAATCACTGAACGCAGCGTTTAAAGCATACTCTTGACAACGAAACGTATCAAAATAAATCGAAACGTACATCAAGCCTCAAGGTTGACTTATGCGCAATAGTGATATAAAAATAACGTTTGATTTTTGTCTTGTTTGTAAGATCATTCTAAAGAGACAATATGAAGGCGAGATTTATTCTTGAAGTCCTAAAATGCATGAAACACAGTATTTAAGGTGCGATCGTTTAAAATTATTTAGACTTTAAACCCTCGCTTCGGGAGTAAAGAATCTTTATATTTATTTAATTCCCCGATACTTTGAGCGGGGAATCTGAATTAGTATAGAGGTATATTTTGCCCGCTACATTTAGCAGGGAATCTGAATATCTGTGTAGGCCCCATCGCGTCACGTTATCTGACATAAATTTCCCCGCCGACTTTGACGAGGAAACTTTATTCGTGTACAGATCACGTGACATAAATTGACATCACGTGTCGTTAACACCAATTCAGTTTCCCCGCTAAATCTAGCGGAAAATGCACGGACGAACGGACAAACGTTTGGGATTGGAGGTTTCGTTAAAAAACATTTTAGTCTTTAAAAATAACCTTTTAGAATGGCATATGGTTGACACCATTGGTAAGCCCTCTGTGCTGGGTTTACTGTCGTCACACACCTCGATGCCAGTACTGGGATGGAGTTCGGCAGGGATTCGTGTCCAGTCAGTGCCGGAACTCTAATCTGGACAGTTGGCGAAACATTCGGCAACGAATTCGGCGGCCGTAATTGGCCTTCGCCTCGCTTGACCTCCGCGCCGGCAAATCACGGCGGTCGAATTTCTCGCAGACTTTTCCGCCAACTGTCTAGAATAGAGCCCCTGATCTGCACCTTGGCCGGGTTTCAAACCTGCCGAATGGGGATCCGTAGGCTGGTGCTTTGCCTCTGCTTTGTATTTTTAATGCAATAGCTTTGTATGGGAACCCCGCACGGACCTTGCTTGCTCGTGTTGGCGTTGGTCGCGCCGAAGCAAGGCCACGGGAGAAAGCGTCAGCAACGGAACGCAGGCTCATTTGCTGACACTTTGTTGGTCATTGGTATGACTTCCGAGCGTGCGCGATTGGGGAAAGGAGGAGGGAGCGGTGAAAACGAGAGGAGAAGTGTTAGCGTACCGCTTAGAGGTCCTCTCCTCCCTGCCCCCGCCCTCGCCCCCAACACACTCCGCGCGTAGGTAGGGTAGGAACCGCGTGTTAGTGCTATTGCACCTTCAACGCAGCCTAGTGATATTTTTTCTTCACTGATAAATTTAACATACGCTTATGATTTATTAATTGTATACTTAATTGCGTTATTTTTCATGGGACCCGGTATGTCCGGCCCAGCGGACATTTTGGCTCCCATCAACGGTGGCTCATATATTTTTTATATAGATTTCTTCGATTTTTAGCCATCTATGATGCACGTTTGAAGTGATTGATTATGAACTTACCAATCTCGCATTTCGGGTACAGATGGGGCGGCCTGTGGAGACGACGTACATTGTGCTAGACTTCGAGAACTTCAGCCTCCGGCAACTGTACTCCTGGGAAGGTGGGTCCGGAGTCCCACCACAGACGCGAGTGTGCTCATGCGAGTCCTCTGGTTCATTACAGCCATGACGCTGCTCACGGACATGTTGAGTGTCTACGAGGCCCACTACCCGGAGATTCTAGAGAAGGCCCTGGTCATCAACGGTAAGTCCTTGGACGACATTGGACCATGTATCGCTTCCAACTTTCTTCCGACCATGTCTTCGACACTATCGCGAGGGTCACGACATACGTCTACACTGTAGATTCGAGGAGATAGCCCGATATCAGGGTTGAGTTGTATCGCGATACAAATGTATCGCGATAGTATTCAAGAGATATATTTCGTTTCTGTACTTCTGTATCGCGATACATTTTTTTCACCAGTATCTGTCTTTCTGTATGGAAATACATTTGCAATGTTTCTTTGTATCTCAATACAATCCGGATGAAATCTGTTTCGTTACATTTCTCAAGAAATACTTCCAGCTCCCACCTGTTCCGGCAATATCAGGTATCATCATCATCACCGTAAACTTTATTAATTGATAAAGTGAAAGGACCTTGCGGTCTCTGGTTGGTGCCTTCAGTCCAGGGCTCCGTTGGCCGCCCAAATTCGGCGGGCTCGATCAACCAGTCGCAGCTGGTCATCGAGCTCTGTGCCGGAAAGGGCCGCCTCCCAGGAGGAAAAGGTGGCAAAGGAATGGGGGTGATACCCTCACCGAGGGGGTGGGGGCATTCCCAGATGGAGTGGTACACGTTAGGGTGATCACTGCCACATCCCGGGCAGGTGCCTGCGTACCGGTTGGGGAACCAGCGACGTCGCTGGTGGAGGTTAGGGAACGTGAACGTTTGAAGTTGTCGCCGTCCGCTTCCTCTGCCCGGGATAGCTTCCGATTCGGAGGGGGCAGGACCGGGCGGGTTGTTCGGTATTCTTCCGTTACCAGGTGGTAGGTGTTAAGGTGTGTGTCGGTTGGAGGGCGGAGGGACTGGGAGTCCGCGGGTGTTTTTGGCTCCGGGTCCCGCTGTATCCTGATCCCATCCAACAAAGCCCGGTTCGTCGCTACCGCTCGGGCTAGCGCGTGAGCACTTTCGTTGCCGGATAAGCCCAGATGTGCAGGCGTCCAGATGATCCGGATGACCGGTATTTGTAACCATTCGGTGATTATGGCAGTAAAATAGTTTGTTGTTGGGCGAGTTGGTGAACGTTTGGATACATGGTTTTGCGCAAAAAAGACGGACACATGAGAGAGAAACAAACACGAGCTTGAGCTGTCCTGTTTTTTGCGCTCGAGTCTGTTTCTCTCTCTTGGGTCCGTCTTCTTTGCGCAAAATCATGTATCCAAAGGTGCTTATGCCGTTGATGAGGTGTGCTGTCCATGGGTAGAGGGTGTTGTCCGCAAACGCTCTGCACGCTGCTTGCGAGCCGGTGACGACAATTATCTTATGTTTGAGGTCGGTGGTGCCTCTGCGTGGGATTGCGTGTGAGATGGCCAGCGCTATGGCCATCTCCTCCACCTCCTGGATTAATGCGATGTTTGAGATGGAGCCCGTGCTGTGACAGGTGTCGTTTCTGTCTGTCACTGCGATGGTTGCTGCTCCAGCTCTTTCCCTGTGGACAGCAGCATCGTTGTACCCTGTTTGTGGGTCTGGGGCGTAGACTTTCTCTAAGGTCCGGACCCTAGCCTCTCTTCGCCCTGTGTGGAGGTCTGGGTGCATTTTCTTATTGATAGGTGCCGCCTGTACGCGGTTCAGAATGTCCGGTTTCAGGCGCACTGAGGCGGCTGGTTCTTCCTGCGTGAGATTGGTGTAGCTATGTCTGGGCAGTGTTGCTCGGCCCGTTCGGGTGGCGCTGAGGCGTGTGAGCTGTCCTGTTTTTTGCGCTTCGACTAGCTCTTCCACCGTGTTGTGGAGTCCCAGCATCAGGAGTCGCTTCACTAACGTACTTATTGTTAGAGCAAGGGCTGTCTTGATCGCCTTGTGGAGCAACGTCTATAGCCAGTTCATTTCGGTGATGGTGAAGTTGTGAAAGGGCACGATATGTGAACCGGCCCACATTGAGGACTTGATAGATTCGCAGCGTATCTTGTTCACTAAGCCCCCCTTTCCGATTAGACACCCGTCGGATGAGGTGGGCTATTTGGTCGGCTTGTCCGCACAGGAGCTCCACGGTGTGTCGTCCTCCTCCGTGGTTTTGGAGGTACATGCCAAGGATTCGTAAGCGCTCTACCCAGGGTATAGGTGTATTTTCTAGCTTTAGGTCGATGGTCGGTGCGTGTTTGTTCAGTACTGAGCGTTTTCGAATCACCAGGAGGTCGGATTTTTCACTTGCGCAGGTTCGCCCTGCCGCTCCCGCGTAGTCTTGATGACGTTGACTGCTTCTTGCAGTCTGCCCTGGATTTCTCCCTCCGTCCCTGTGGTGGTCCACACCGGGATATTGTCGGCGTACAGGGCGTGTCGCAAGTACCGTATTTCGTTGAGTTTCTGCGGGAGGCTCGCCATTGCCACGTTGAACAGCAAGTGCGATGCAACTGATCCCTGAGGCGTCCCTCGTCCTGTTAGGCGAGCGGGGTCCGACAGGATGTCGCCAATTCCCAGGGTGGCGGTTCGATCTATCAGAAAGGATCGCACATAGTTGTATTCCCTTGTACCGCAGTGGGTCTCGGTGATGTTGCGTCGTATATCATCGTGCGAGACATTATCGAAAGCCCCCTTGAGGTCGATGGCTAGCACCGCCCTCGCCTGGGCTTGGCTTTGAATGTCCAGGACCTCTTCCTTTAGTTGGAGGAGGACACCTTGCGTGGAGAGGCGTGGTCGGAATCCATACATGGTGTCCGCAAAGTACTCTTGCTCCTCGAGATATGGTTGTAGTTGTGACAATACGACGTGCTCTATGAGCTTCCCCACACAAGACGTAAGCGAAATGGGTCGTAGGTTTTGAAGTCCCAGTGGCTTGCCAGGCTTAGGGATGAGTGTAATGTCCGCGTGTTTCCATTCCTCCGCGATTCTTTCTGTCCTCCAGACCTCATTGAAATATCGGGTGAGCGTCGTAATGGAAGCGTCGTCAAGGTTGTGCAGCATTTTGTATTTGACTCCGTCTTTCCCCGGGGTTGTGGTGCGCATAAGTTTGGTGAGGACAGCTTGTATCTCCGATTCGATGAAGTCCTCGTCTATCTGGCTCGGCTCTTCCGTGTAGGGGTACTCTGCTTAGTCGTGACGTTGGCCGGCTGCGAGATATCGGGATTCTAGTTCCTTCACGATGGAGGGTTCGTCCCGCTGCAGTTCGTGCAGACGTTTGGTCACGGCCTTGGATGTCTCGGTCTTGGAGCGCGATGGGTACAGCAAGGACCGGAGGATCGCCCAAGTCTTTTCGCATCACTCGTCAGACTGACATGATGTCAGGGAAGGGACTGTGGCCAATCCTTCATGGAACGTTTCTTGAGCCATGGAAGACTCCTCTTCATCCGAAACCACTACCTTCAAGGCGAAGTGCCAAGCCTACAGGAAAGTAATTTTGGGATCAAAAACTTCCACTTCAAACTTCAAACTTGATCTCAGTTGGCGTCTCAAAATATTTGAAAAATGTATTGCAGTATCACTATTGCTGTGTTTGTATTTCTGCCCTCCCTAAAATTTATTTCTGTATATGTATTTCCAAAGACTTTTCGCCTATATTTAAAAGTTATTTCCGATACGTACCGCGATACATTTTTATAGCTATATTTTAGTATCAGTATTTTAACTACTATTTCAATGTATCCCAGTACTTCCATTTCAAAATATATTTTTGAGTATTTCTGCCCAACCCTGCACAACATTATATTACGTTCTCGGATATTTACTTCAATTAATTTGAGCACAAATCAGGAATTCCGCGAAGGTCCAAAAGTCGCCGCCACTCATTTTGCAAACTGTGGTGACAGCGACGCTACCAAAGTTTACCAACATTCGAAAATAGCACTCCTCATATTACGAATATTGTCACGACTAACTTCAAATGAACGTTTAATGCCGCAAACTTGTGCCAAGAAACATAGAGTAACAAATACCGTATACATGCTTTGACGACGATGACGGAAGGACGACTTCCTCAGGCAGCCATGCGAAGCTCCTTTTGTAAGCGCGTGGGTCTCCAGAAGTTTCCGCGTTCAAACAAACAAGATTCCCTAATCATATGGAATATTTCAGGCAGGCAAACTAAAGGAAGATAAAACGGACAAGCGCTGGCGGGGATCAAACCCCAGCCAGCGGCGTGGGAGTCGAGCACGTGACTGACTTAGCCATTCGCAAGCGGCCATTACTCTCATAGTGAAAAAACGCATCGCCCGGATGCAACATAAAATTAAACTGGCAACTGAAAACAGGAAAAGGGCAAACTAAGGAGTTGCCGACACCGCAGATTTTCCCAGTCCTTTGGAGCATAGTTCAGTTCGATTCGGACGACGTGAATCACCTTCGGGTCGCAGAGGGCGGCGTGACAGTGTTCATGTTCCGTTGGGCAGCGGCTTGCGACGATGAATTGGTGTTTAGATCCACAACTGGTAGCCGGGCTGTAACGGGGTGTCGTGGCGACAAAACTTGTACCGGCCATCGTCAGCAAGTGTGCGGCTCGAATCAAAATGCGGCCGAACTGGCAGACTTTCTCTGTTCGGTGAGCGACGAACCGAGCGTCGTCGTCCTGTTTTTTTTCGTGATCGACATTCCACACGTCGTCTGTATCGTCGTCGGGTTTGTCATCAAGGCAGTCGTCGAGGTTGTAGTCGGGGTTGTTGTTGAAGTCATAGTCCGGGTAGTTCTTGGGTCGCCGTCGAATTCGTCGTCAGGGTTGCCGTCGAAGTCGTAGTCGGGATCGTCGTCGATTTCGTTGTTCGAGTCGTCGACTCTGTCATCGTCAGAGTCGTCCTCAGTCTTGTCGTCAAGGTCGAAGACACTTTGTCGTCGAGGCCATAGTCAGGTTGGTTTTTGACGTCGTAAGGGGGTTTGTATTTGGAGTCGTCCGTTTCATCGCCGGCGTCGTGGTCGAAGTCATCATCATGTTATCGTAGAAGTCGTACCCAGGGTCTTTGTCCTGTACATAGTCCGGGTCGTTTTCAAAGCCATAGTTGAGGTCGTCCTTGATGTCACAGTTAGAGTCATCCTCGAATGTTTCCGGGGACGCCGCCTTCATGGTCGTCGTCTTCGGAGTTATCGTGTTCACAGGTGGTACGCATCGTGGGCATAGGTTGCGTTACCCCGCACCTCCATCAATATCTCATGAATAAAAACTTGTAAATATTGGAATGGTGTATACAGACAAACACCGACATCATCAAAGTATGCTTGCTGCAATGTAAAGCTTATCTTTTGCGCTTGCACTGCTGGAACTGTATGCCATGATCGGTTCTGCCCGTGAAAGATTTGGCGTATTTTTCGCAGCGCCCAGCTTTTTCCCGCTGGTCTGGAGGATCGTGCGTCCCTTTCTATCGCAGAGAACGGTGGACAAGGTACTTATTTTTGCGAAGGGTGAGTGTCTTGTTCTCGATAGTTTCATTGTGCGAACGATGCTCCCATTTATCTGTGAGGACAACTCTAACTATAAGTGTTAATAGTACTGCTATTATTAATATTACTATTACTTGAAGGTCACTCGTGATCATTGACGCTGGGATGCAGTGTTTACTTCAAGTGAATTGTCGTGAATTGTCTAGACCGTCGTTTTCTTTGTTTTTTTTTTCCTTCGGGCTCAGCGCGTTGATTTTTGAAGTGGTTGGGTTGGGGAGCGAGAAATAAAAGCTACCATACATGGGCAACAAAATAGATAGAAAATAATACAACCAGTGTCGGAAACCCTTTAAATTCTAGACTCATGTACTTTCTTTCGAACAATTTTTTTTTTTTTTCGTATTTTCTTCAAACCCGGCATCGTCGAAATTCAGTATGGTGATTGATCATCTCGAGGAAATGGACTGTGCTGTATCAAACAAAAACAAAACTTTCGCTAGAGCCCCTTTTTTTTCATTGATTTAAATCTTCGAACTATAGTACTACCATTTTTTTTTTTCCTATATGTGTATTTTAAAAGAATGTATAGAGAATGGCTGAGCAATCGTGTTTCACATCAAACGTGTAGAGTCTACACTCTCGGCGCTCTTCATTGGTTAGTTTAGTGACTGGCTTAACACGTGACATGCGCACTCAAAAGCAATTCCGGGAATGGAGATCCCGGCGCTAACCCGGTTTCTAAAAACGCGCGACAAAGTGTCAAGTTGCTATCTGCCGGGCGCAGAGCGGATGCCCCGCAGGGCTTTCCCGCCAAAGGGTACCTCAAATCACGGCGATGCGTCGTGACGTGAAAGACACTCGCTTATTAACCTAAATGATCTGGGTTCGACTCTGACCTGGCGCAAACGCCTTTTTAATGCGATAGCCTCTGCCCCCCCCCCCCCCCCCCCTCACATGCACTCACACTCAAAAACCAATCAGTGTCGAACCTCGCGGCCGCGCTTTTATCTAGGCTTCACTTTTGAGCTTCACGAGATGCCGAACACCTTGACAAAAACGTCCCTCGTTAATAACATGAGATGTCTGATTTAGACCGTGCTTCCTCAGGAAGACAACAGTTAAAAGAGAAAAACCCCGAAAAGGTGCATCAGTATAACTCGAATTTGTCTCTGCACACATACCAATATTCTGACATATCAGCCTTTGTTAAGACTTCTGTTTTTAACGAGATAAAAAGAAGGAGATGCATATTCGGGCGCCGTTGAAGTTCTGCTAACCTGTACGTTACAAGTGGGATTTTCGAGGATATATTGAGTTCCGTTATTCCTTCGAAGGTTTCTTGAAAGCAGCAGAACACTGAGATTATGCACAGAGAAACAGAGGGGGAGAAGAAGACGAGAGCGCGGCGGGGACGTCAAGATGCCGAGCTCTGGTTGGAATAATTAGTGGGTAGACCGGAAGGAGCACTACGAGAGCGCACGACACGAGAGCGCATGTGCGCGCCTATGGAATAATGGATATTGGAGCCGTAAAACACGTGTTTTCTCGGATAGCACAGTTTTTTGCACGCAAGTTAGTTTCCCAATATATTGTAAATTATATGCAACATAAGGGCCTTTTTTTCTTTTATCAAAACTATATATACGGTCAAATATGTTGGGCAATGAACTAAAAGTTTCGAATTACCCTTTAATTCATGGCTGTATGGTTCATGTTGCAATTGCAAGTACCGCCATTCTATAGCGTGGTTGGTAGGGGGTTCCGGAAAAAAAGGTCCCCGAAAAAAAAACGCCCTGGAAGAAAGGTCTCTAGGTATAAAGTAGGAACAAATGTCACCAAAGGATTCTTTATCGCTGGGTTTCCCTGATTATCATGGCCTTCCGGAGGTCCGGTCGTTGTGCGGTCCAAGTGACCTGACCCTCTGTAGGTAGAGAGGAAGGATAAAAACCCCTTTGAACGTGAAACGGGAGGTTTGGAGGCGTGCTCAGTCACTGCCTCCCCACTCTGGCTATCGACGTCTTGCGCTCCGAGGTATTGACCGTGACCATGAAGATGTCATAGGATCGGGTCGGTGCTTTTTCCAAGAAAAGTTCCAAGTCGAATCTCGTCGAAATGCAACGCCGTCTTGCAACGCCGCAACGCCGTCTGAAATAAACCTTTATAGCACATTCAGCCAGAATGCGATTATTGTAAGGGGGGAAACTTGATTGGTACGTGTCTACCATTTTTAAATAGGTGCATTCCTCGGAAAATAATATATTTGCTTGTTTCGTAAAAACAAATTCACTGAAATTAAAAAAAAAAAAAACAATGTCTAAGAAGCTGCAAACCTGCCAGCCTTTTGGAGTCGTTAACAGGAATGCACTCCTTATCTTCCACGCTTAAGCCCGGTTCACACACCTGCGTTTGTTGCGACAGAAATGACAGAAAGGACACAAACGACAGGACAGCGGGACAATTGTGTCGCCTTAGAGAGCGTGACAGGCAAGGCAAGGAGCAGCCTCGTTAAAGGGGCACCGGCACCTAACAAGTAGTTAGTTTTTGTCCCAAACCACTTTAAGTGATGCCTAGAGATCAACCCTCGAAATTTCAATACTGGGAACGACGTATTTGCGCACACAACAAATAATTTCGAAAAGTCAAATTTGAATTTCCCGCGCCTTTCGCGGTCGTCAAATACGTCATAGAAAACGTCGCGGCCATGAAATACGTCAAGAACTTCAATTCCGTCAGGGAGGGCGGCGATCTTCTGGCTTTCTTTCCTCCCTAATCCCAAGTGGAGACGTCGTTTCTCCAGTTCCTTGCGCGCATGCGCGTCTTCCGTTCGCGCCGGACACGAATTTTAGCAGACGAGCCATGATAGAGAATAAAAGCATCACGCTGCGTGCACTGAGCTCAGATTTCTCAATGTTCATATTCAATGTTTGAATTTTTTTTTTAATATTATCGAACGGCAATCGAAAAACAACTACATTTCTGAAACTCTGTATCTTGCTTCTTCATTTCGATATTGCGAAAATTTTATTTTTTAGACTTCCCACAGGTCTGCGTAATCAACCGATAAAATGGCGTAAAGCGTTCGATTGCAGAAAACATATTTTTGAAGACTCAAACATCGATCATTTCCAAGGTACGCACATGCGCTCTGGTGACGCGCGCTCTAATGGCACGCGCTCTCGTGTCGCGGCGCTCTCCCGTCGTGCGCTCTGCTGTCGCGGCGCTCTGCTGTCGCGGCGCTCTGCGTCGTGCCGCTCTCGTGTCGCGGCGCTCTGCTGTCGCGTTCTCTCGTATCGTGCGCTCTCGTGTCGTATAGCCGCATAAACCTAAAGCTAGCAACCTTTGTCTCCACAGCACTCGTCGAACGCATCCGAAGGTGGAACGCCGGCATCCTGCGCTTGGCCTTTAAATTCGACCGCTTTCGACGAGTGCAATGAAGACAAAGGGACAGAGAGCTAGATGTGAGTCTACCCACTAGTCATTCGAACCGGAGCTCGGCGTTCTGACGTCCCCGCAAGCTTTCGCCTCCTCATCTCCCACGGCTTCTCCCCGCACTGACTTGGTGACGCGAAAAGTCCACTCATCACTTTCTGGGTGCATCATAAGCCTGCTGGTTTATGTACGTCACAATTACCGGACGTTAGCGCGGGTCACGACTCACATGTTGAACACGAACGCTGCGTCAGCTTTTGAATGGCACTCGCGCTCAATCGGGTAGAACACTAGTCCCTACCGAACGCTGACCCGGCTCTATACCACCGCTGGCCCCTTGCAGACGGCTGGCGAGAAATAATGCGGGACACCTTCGAACCCGAGAGGCTCCCCAAGCACTGGGGCGGTGACATGCTGGGTCCGGACGGGGATCCGCGCTGCACGGACAAGGTACGTTCAGAGCATGGGTGATCCAAGTCACCAGGCTCGGTCTAGAATGAACCGTAAAAATCAACGCCTGCACGTAGCAACTGAAACTTTTTGTCAAATCTGTATTTCACAGGTTGGTTTTTTCTCGTAAAATTACCGAAGCGTACTTCTCTTTCTGTAAAAAAAAAATAATGCCAAGAAACTTGCCAGGGTCTACGTCGGACAGTGGCGGTTCACTAGCGGGTTATGTTTGGCGTTCGCATTGATGGATGGCGTCGGGAGCAGCGTCCGAAGGTGCAGCCGACCAGCGAAAGAAAGCAGACGACACGCAGACGAAATCCGTTGGCAGCAAAAGCGCCGCCGTTATGCAACGCGTTTTTTTTTTTTTTTTTTAAGTTTTGCTCTTATCGTCCGCATTTGTTTTTTAACCGAAGGGGCATTTAAAAAAAAATTATGTTCATAATAATAAACCACGGTGGTTGCGAGCGGTCGCGATAAGGAGGTTGCGCAATCTATCAATACGAGCGCCAAACACACCCCGCTACAGAACCCCTGTTGTCTGCGTCGCTGCTCGCCGTAGACCCTGGCAAGTTTCTTGGCCTTATTTTTTACAGAAAGAGAACTACGGTTTCTAATTTTACAAGAAAATATCACGCAAATACCACACATATATCACACAAAAAACAATTAGAATTCCAATTCCTAAGTGAGAACTAAGAATAAAGAAAATAAATTGCTTCCCTCTACCTGCTCCACCTTACGATATAACAGGTTTAGTCCAATTTAAATAAATAATCTGGGCCGTATTTGGCCAAAAAGGTTCTTCAGTTCGCAGGCATTGGCATTTTTTTTTTTGTTGTTTCTATGCCATCTGGTTTAGGTTTGGGCGTCGATTAAAAGTTTAACCCGATTAATCGCCGTACTTTAATCGATTAATTCATCGATTAATCTGTTTCGTTCATTCCCATGCTTAAGAGTCTGTTTTTTTTATATCAAAATTAAAGAATTTGCTTCTGCTAAATATGTAATAAACCGCGTTGTACATTTTCGTATTTCAAATCAGCCTTGACATGTGGTTGAGAACAGTCAAAATACACCCACACTGACAAATTATTACTTCAGCCGCAGAGGCCAAGAGGTTCGTTGACATTTCCCGGCAATAACGAACTCTTTTCATTGTTTACGATAGTCTCTGCTGCCCTAGACGGACACTAGGGCGGTGTTCAATGGGCCAGGGACACGTATAAACTTCTCTACGTGTTTCGAGTTACAGATATCGCCCTTACAGTTTACTTTCGGTCAAAATTTCTCCTAAAGTTTGCCTTCATACAGGTGTAGTAGTCCACGTCTGCGTGATGAAAGCGTTATATTTTTATTTTCCATTTCTTCTTTTTTTCTTTTTTGTTAACATTTACCCGATTAAGCGGTAAAAATACTTATCGCGATTAATGCATTCAATTATTAATCGGTAGATAAATCGAGAAAGGGCCATGGCCGAATTTCAACCTTTGTTTACAGCTATCGTTGGTTACGGTTTCTAAAGGAAAAAATTGCCGTATTCTGTAATGAGATGACAAACTAAAAACGCTGTCAGGTATTCCGAAGGACAGCTTTTTCAGATCGAAACAACGCTGTATAAAATGGTTAAAGTTAATCGGCTATTCAAAAGAAGTTGAAATTTTGTTGGGTTACTGATTAATCTCCCTCCAAGGGTGCCAGGCGTCTTGGTTGTAAATAGGCGATTTGGCCACTGCCGTAGGCTTGCTAACCTGCGGCAGAATGCGCACGGCGGTAGAATGCTGACGCCGATCGATATTGCCAGTTGTGAGGATTAAACTCAAGTTAAGGGCATTTTTGCAATTATTAACCGCCGTGCTTCTGAAAATTGGGAGTTCTCACAGTCTTCTCTTTCCGAGCAGGCTTGAAGACGGCCATCCAAATAGGTAATCCAAGAGCGCCTTGCGTAGGGCTTTACAAGCAACCATTTACGCGAACGAGCATCTAGGGCTGTCCCTTTTGGAGGAACCCCCGAGAACTGTTTAACCGAAGACGCAAGGTTGAATATCATATTGTTTAGATTGCATTAATCCTGTTTGTGATATGAGATATGTTTGATTCATGCACCGCTTTCTAAAAGGGCGCCTTTATTGGGTACCATGGCAGTGTGCATTATTGATCAGCACAATTGGTATTTGGTTTTTTCCGCACCAGCACTTTTTTCCTGACAAACGATGACTTACACCGCTTGCTAATCGTGCGCCTGACTAACAGCTAGAATTATTCACTTTCCCTAATATATACTCACTAAAGTTGGCAAGAAGTCAAAGATGATGCAGAGCAGAAACATGTTTACGCTAGTTTACTGTTTTCAGAAGTCCTCCATTGCTCCAACAGTTTTGCGGCAGCGTTTTGAGGCGCTCGATGCATTGCTGGATGAACTGTTAAGTTTCTGGTCTTTCTTCAATTCTCTCATTGTTTCTCCTACACTACTACTATTAAAAATACGAGTTCAAGATGCTTTTTTTTAATTTATGACATTAAGATAATGATATTCTCCCAACTCTTTAGGCCTTTCCTCTTTTAGGAGCTTTGAGAAACTAGATCGCATTCTGCGGGACTCACGTTGGTTCCCTATCGGCTAACCTTCAAGATCTGCCTTGCAGGTGTGCCCTGGTGGCCAGGTGCCGAAGTGCCCGCAGATGGGTCCGGACGCTTTCAGTCAGGTCATCTCGAGTCGGGACGCCTGGGAGCTGCGAGTGCCCGTCCAACAGTCACAGAGCCTACTGCGATGGAACTTCCACGTGCAGCGAGGGGATCTGGCTTTCGACCTGCGCTACCTGCCGCCTAAGGACGACAAAAAACCGGAGGCCTCGGAGGAGCCGCTGACGAAGACGCAACGACTCACAGGGCAGCAGGAAGGCAGCCTCCGCTGCGACAAACCGGGCACATGTGAGTGTGCTGCTCGAGAGATACCGCATGTTTATAGTGTGTGCACGCACCCTGAAGGTGGAATTGCAAACCAACAGCGGGTCCGTTCTTTTAGACAATATGATATACCTAAATTTGAAAAGAATATTTAATCGGGGCGGGCTGTTCAACAGCCAGTTCATGGGAACTCAGGTCCCCTTTGTGTAACGAGTCTGGTCACGTGCAGCACACCAACTTGATAGGTGCTCTCGCTTCACGATCGTTCGCGTGAGATGTTTTTACTAAATGAGTTCGCGTTAAGCCGAGCCAAAAATTAAACTTACGCTGTTCGATACAGTGAGTGTGAACTAGGTATCGGCGCCTCCTTGGTTTTCACTCATCAGCGTGGCTTTGAATATTAAATTTTCCACGCCGAATGCTTTGCCACACTATACCTTTCGGAAACACGCAATTTTATCGACATCTTCTCAGCTTTCAAAGACATAATTCAATAAATATGATGCTCATAGTCGATCTCTAGACAAAAAAACAAATAGTGAACTAGCGAATAGACAAACCGAGATTATGTGCTGCAAAGTGAAGCCTTGACATCGTCATACTCTCACGTTTTCGGGCGCCCCTGGCGCTGGTCTCGTTCGCAGACGTGCTGCACTTCGACAACTCGTTCAGCTGGCTGACCAGCAAGAACCTGACGTACACCGTGGAGGTTCAGCCACCGGACGAAGCCCCCTAAAGATACTCGGTACCACCCCACCAGACGACACGTCGCCGGACGTACACGTGACGGACCACGGACGCCACCCACAACCGTAGTCACCAAGGCGGCGCCCACTGCATTCATGGACACACTTCCAATGCTCTCGAGAGAGGGAGAGTAAACATTTATTCCCATCCAAAAATTCGTCCTGGGTCATTTTCTTCACTATTCATCACCCAGCACGTTCTTAACGTGCTGAACTAAGAGCGGCCAGAGGATTAGTTCGGTCCCGGCAGGGGGATTCGCCCACTCCTCCCAGCTCCCGGGCTCAAGTCTGGTTGGAAGTGTTTGTAGTGCTGTTTTAGTTGTGACAGCTACGTTGGGGCAGTCCCATAGCTGACGGGCATTGCTGGCGTACCGCCCGCAGGTGCTGCACTGTGGTGTGCCTTTTGCGCCGCTGATGTAGTGTCTAAGGTGTTCAGTCATGAGGCTTGTATTGTGCACTCTCCGCACTATAGTTGACTCTTCTCTGTTTAGTGGGTAAGAGGGGCTGCTTAGTAATCGTTTGTTCTCTTGGAGCTCTTTAAGTGTCCTCCTTCTCTGTTTATGCATAGATGCCCTATGAATGTAGAGGTCGTAGGAAGGGGGCCATGAAATGGGGACGCCCGGATTGAGGTTTCCGCGGGCGAGCTCATGGGGAAGCTCGTGCTTTATGCCCTGATGCCCCAGTACCCACTCCATGGTCACCGTGGTCTGAGGATGGTTGATCATGGTGTCTGTTAGCATAGTTGTAATATGTGGGGGAAGGGCGTTGTCCCTAAAGTTGCGTATGGCCCCTTGGCTGTCGGTTCTGATTGTGATATCTCCCTTGGTCGCGTGGTCCCTGATGACCTCCGCTATGGCTAAAGTTTCCAGACTGGTGGGAGATGGAACGTCCTTGTGTGTGTAGGTGGTTTGCGTTTCTTGGCCCACTATAGCAGCCGTGTCCGTCTTGTTTTGGGGGTCATAGCTGGCGTCCGTGTAATAGTACGTTATGTCTTCTTGTTCAGTGAGAATGCGCTGTGCGATTCGGGCTCTTCGTTCGTTGTCTTTTTCGAGGTTCATGTTTTTGGGTATGGGCTTGGTGTTAATTCGGGGTATCCAATCCCATGGTGGGGCCAGATCTGGTTTAGCTAAAAGGTCATGAGTTTTGTGTCCTATTCCTTGGAGGAGTTTCCTGCCTTGTTTAGACGTCTGGAGACTTTGATTATGCACTGTATCGTGTAGATCAGAGGCCAGATTCACGAAAAGATCTTACGCTAAAAATGTGCGTAAGACAAAACTTAAGAACAAATTTGTATTTACAAAACGAAATTTTTTTAAGTTTTGCGCAGGTTACGATGGAATCCTACGACAGCTCCGAAGCTGTCTTACGCACTTCTTACGATCAAATCAGCATGGCCCACAGCGTCGCTCGGTTACTTGGTCGCGACAACCAACAGGCGCTTATTTTTCTACTGCGCTTCTCCCGCGTCCTGACTTCAAGCAGCAAGAAAAAAGTCAAAAGTACTTGAAACAGAGCACGACGAACAAGAACGCTGGATCCACAAACACCCGGGAAAAGCTCCAACGGCCACGATTCACCAAGCGAGCTCAGCAGATAGGCCTAGGAGGCACTCCGACTCGGCGCCGCGGTGCTCAGACGGTCCTTGGCCAAGACCGTCTGCCCACGACCGGCTTGCGTGATGAATGAAATATGCCCCCGCAACCCTTGTGAACCCTTCCCGTATTATAGTTTCATCGCTGACCTCAATTTTAGATAAAGAGGTCAATCTCTTCCTTTTGTCATCTCCTTGTTTTCCGATGCAGCGGTGACGAACGCTGTCGTCGAAAAGGGATTCTCATCTATTCTATCTCTTCGTTTTGTGTGATATAGAGCTCAAATAAACGACGTATGAATTATCTTCGCAACACGGTATGTACACTTTGTTATTAGTATCCCGAAGCGCTCACCAATTCCCGAAGCGCTCACCAATTAGTATCCCGAAGCGCTCACTAATTCGCGGTCCAGCAGCGCGAATCCAGCTCTTCGATCAAACGCGCGCGTCCGCTCCGAGTGTGAACAGGTATTACGTCGCTCTTGCTGACACTCTCCTAGTTCAAACGTATCTTTTTTTACATCGGCTCGCTCCTGCATCTCCGAGGCCGCGAAACCCGCCGCGGCAATTTATTTGCATCTACGTCGCTTTGCAAACGACTTCTTACCAACGACGACAGTTGCGTTGACTTCGTAGCGATCGAGTTCGTAGCAGTCAACGGAGGCGGTTACGCATCTCGGCCTCGGCATTCGGGCGTGTTTAAATCGTGTTAGCGTCGACATATCACTGCACGGACACGAACTCCAGACAAGCGGTGGCAGAAAGGCCGCCTGTGTTTGTTATTAACAATCCACGTGCTCCGAGCGGCTCTGAAGCATGCCGAGCTCTCCGATTGGTTGTTCGTGCTGCCGAAGACGCCGTCGCCATAGCCACAGCACCGGTAAGTTCTAGTTTTTCCGTACGAGAACGTCGCTTTCTTCCTCTCACTTAAGAACGCGTTCGTGAATACCGATTTCTCCTCTTCTTATGATGTTCTTAACTTACGAACTTCTTAGCTAAGTTGTCGTAAACTAAGAAGCTCTTCGTGAATCTGGCCTTTGTTAGCTCCCCTAAGGTGTTAAAGATGCCTGTCTCTTCTATCTTGGTCAAAGGGGTGTATCTTGTACCCCCAGTGCTAGGCGGGTGGTTTTTCTGAGATGCGTCTCAACTTTGCTTCTTTGGGTTTTCGTAATACGCACGTATGGGAGCCCGTACATGATTCTTGAGTTGATAAGTGTGGTGATTATCTTTCTTAACTCGTGTTCTTTCACTCCAGCTCTTTTCCGCGTCACCCGTTCTATCATGTGGGTGATCTGATCTATTTGTGCTATTATTTTTTGGGCCCATTTGTCCGCTCCCCCCCCCCCCCCCCCCCCGCTTTGTTCCAGGTAGAACTCCAAGACCCGTATGAATTGCTGTCTGGGTATCGCGTGATTGTCAAGCTCAGGGGTAATTAGGCTGCGGGTTTGCGTAGTATGTTTGGTGTTACTGTCTATCACAACGATGTACTCGGATTTTTCTGGTGCACATCGTAGTCCAATTGTCACGTATTCCTGTATGACGTCGAGTCCCTTCTGCATTGTTTCTTCTTGCTGTGCTAGGGAGCCCCTGTTGCACAAGAGAGTAATATCATCCGCATATAATGCCGACTTTAGATCCGATATCTTTTGGAGTTGACCCGGAATGTCTTTGAGGGCAAAAATGAAGAGAGTCAATGAAAAAAATGGCTCCTTGTGGAACCCCGGCCTGTAGTGTGTATTTTGGGCCCATGTATCCACCCACCTTGATTGTAATTGTCCGTTTTGAGAGGAAGTCTTTCACGTAATTGAACATTCGTTGCCCCGGTTTTGTTTCTGCTAGCTTTTTTAGTATGGCAGAATGGGCCACATTATCGAATGCCTTGTGGATGTCCACAGCAGCCAGTAACCTGGTTTGCGCCGTGCTTTTGTGGTCAAAGAGTTCGTTTTTGAGTCTCGGCATGGTGTCCTGCGTGGGCACGTGTCTTCTGAAACCCGTCATTGTGTGGTGTAGTACTTCTTTGGTTTCGAGACGCCATTCAATCCTGTGCAGTGCCAACTTTTAGCCAGTTTCCCCACGCATGACGTTAAGGAGGTTGGTCTTAGGTTGGTCATTTTGTCAGACGGTTTACCCGGTTTGGGTATGGGTACGATTACAGCTTCTTTCCATTCCATTGGTAGGTGACCTGTTTCCCAGGCTGTGTTGATTTGCTTGAGTAGGGCCTCCAGATAGTTTTTCGGGAGGTTTCTGAAGAGCGTGTAGGTGATACCGTCTATTCCTGGAGTTATGCTTCAATTGATGTTCTGTAGAGCCGAGAGCATTTCGTTTAAGCCAAAAGGGCTATTAATGCCATCTTCTTTCTTCCCTTCTTCGTCTGGGGGTAGTCGGGAAGGGTGTCAGTTACCGGTCGTGACGGATAATAATGTCTTCTAATGTCTTCTGCCAGGTCATGTGGGTTTTTGTTCAGTTTGAGCTATTACCTTTGTAGGCTGTGCTTGGGTTTGGTTTCTCCCAGCATGGATCGGAGGATTTGCCATACTCTAGGTGTATGTAGGAGTCCGTTCAAACCGTTGCACAGCTGTAGCCAGTTTTCGTTTGCCAACTTGCTAGCGTATATATAGTCCTTTGCTTATTCTGTAATGCTTCTTAATATTTTTAAGTGCTTGTTCATCTTGTTCTTTTTTAACCTTTTGGCCATTTTCCTTCTTTTGGCCCATAGGTCGAGGAGGTGCCGGTCGATAAGTGGTGCTTCTTCGGTTTTTGTAATGTGCTTTGTGTGCTTTTGGCATGCCGCTTTGATTTCCTCATTCCAGGTGGAGGGGTTTTCCGAGCCGTTTTCCTTTTCTAAGTCTTCTCGAAGTTTTTCCCATTTGGTAATTCCTGTTCGCTGTCCTGATCCTCGTTCTTTATTTCTTTTGCTTTTGCTTGTGAGTTTTGTTATTAGAATGCAGTGATCGCTGTCCAGGTTTTCTAATATGTTGTCCCACCGAGTTAGGTTGGAGCCGATGTGCCACGTGATCTGAGATCTGGATTTCTGTTTTTCTCTACGCTATTCCCAGTCCGCGTCGGGGTATGAATGTCGCTTAGTAGGCATAGGTTGTTGTTGCCCGTGGCTGCCTCTAACCTTCTGCCATTTGGAGTAGTGTTAGAGTAGCCCCATGCCGTGTGATGGCTGTTGAAGTCGCCCCCTATTATCAGGTCCTTTCCCTTGTGCTTCTCTTTCAAGTCTTTGATCCACTGCAGTTTGTTTTGCTACGATGGTATCCCGGAATCCAGTATCTGTTGATCACTACCAGTTTGGTGTCGCTGCCTTGAAGCTGGCATTCTATTGCTACCATTTCTTGCTTGTGTGAGTTGTACTGTTCGGTTTCTAGCTGTATTGTGGGGATACTATTTGCCACGTATGTTATAGTCATGGTTGGTGTTTGAGGTCCATTTGGTTTTCGATTCTTACTCGACCGTGTTTGCAGGCTTGTAAAACTTGGCTCAGTGAATTTCTGATATCCAGAGAAACTGAAGTCTCCATTTGTTTCTTGTAACATTATTATATCTGGTTTACGTGCCGCGT